AATTAGACTGTGAGAGGTAACAGTACATGGACTAACATGTTTATTAACTCTAGAATGCAAATACAACGTCAGTAACTAAATTTAAACAAGAATCGACCTGTTTTACTTTTAACAACTAAAGTGGTTTTGCATAGAACCAAGTTATATTCAGCTCTCTACGAAAACGGGATAAGTAGGTAAATTAAAATTGATTATATGAGACAGTCGGACTGAAACTAAGGCTAGTAAATTCTATTTTTCCTTTATAGTAATTAAACATGATAATCAGATAAAAAATGAATACTTTTTTATAAAAACTTTGCAGATAAATTGTGACAGACATTTTAACAGATTAAAATTAATATTTACATCTATTAAGCCGGTGGTAAATGGTTAAAATATCTTTCATGTACTGTACCTTTTTTTTCAAGTATTTGTCAACTAAATATTAATTCACTTTTTTGTAATCGCGTAACTATTATTCGCAATTCAATCGATATTTCTTAGTTGGATACGCACATCGATTGTTTTATACGTCTCCGTATGACAACCGGATTCAATGGACGGCTTAACGAGCTCTCTGTAGCAAAGAGGATTCTCGACAATAACATACAAGGGATGTCCCCATCTACAGCCCGATCACCCAAGTTCTCTTAAACCCAAAGACCGACGAGACATGAGTAAGCCTACCTGTTTATGCAGCTCTTCATCTTTATCTATGAGAACGATTTGAGTATACAAACTAAGAATTTGTAAATTATTTCTGGGACAATATCCTAAGTCGAAAAACAACGTTTCATCACAAATATTTTCTCGATAAGCCAAATGAAACGCAAAGGGAAAACTCGTTGTCACAACACTAAGGGGGACGCCGATCGTTTTGGGGTAAAGGGGGGATGATTTAATAAATATTCAAATAAAGGAAGAGGTCCATTGGGCCCCAACGACGGACGCGAGACGAAGGCCTGAACTCAGTATTATGTGTCGATTTGCGGTGAACGGCAAACAGGCGAAAATACAACGTAATTGAATAATAATAAGGATGATTTTCAAATGGCTGGCGATAGGTTTTGTTACTAAAAATCGACCGTTCATTATTTTTTTACGTAACTTTGGATTCGAGGTAAACAAAATAAAAAATATAATCTGTATTGATTAGTGTCTTTTGCTCGCTTTGTAACTATACAAATTTCTATTAAAATTAGTCTCTTGGTAGGAAATTGTTTTACTTGACAAATTTTGCAAGCCAAGGCAAGTTTTAAATTAGCCTGGTATAAAAACATGACATTTCAAATTTTATAATTATTCGTGATTATCACCACACCTACCTACTATGAAACTTACTCTAACCGATAAAAGTATCGTTTGTACCTTTTTGCGTCAAGGAATTATAGTTTTTAATTAAGTTATTATTCTTTACAAATTATTGCCTATTTTTCATGTTTATACAACACACCATAACGACGTATAAATTGCGTCTTCACAAGTATGCATCCTGTATAAGGCCCTGACAATAACCGTTGGCCGCTGACTAAACAATATCCGCCCTGTAGATAAAAGACCCTTGAAAAAAAACTTCATATTTGATACCTTGACGCGGCGCCCGTCGACGTAATAACTGGCTCTTGAAGATAACATGATAAGCTTTGCTTAACTGATTTTAAATTGTAAAAAAACTGATTTTTGTCTATATTAAAACTATTATTCTGTTTTCGACTTAGATTTTTTCGGATCCTTGTTGGAATGGTTGCGAAAATAAATGCAATGTCTTTGTTCTCTCCAACTGATGATTACCGAGTATGGCATGAAATATTTACCTCGTTTATCGGTTAGAGGCGAAAAATAATATTTCTGATATTAAGAAAAACCTAATCAGTAAGAAGTGATGTGAAGGAAAGACGTAGTCACCTCCTACGTCTTTTCTAATTAGTATGATATTATAAAGATTAGTAAATGTAATTTATAAATTATCTGTACCACCATATTCTGTCTAAAATTCTTTATTATCTTCGCTACTTATTTAATATGCCATCCTTAACTGGGCAAAAAATCGAAACGTAGTATGCAAAAAGTGAAAGAACTAGGACCACCTTTCAAAGATTACGATTTACGTGTTGAGCATAAATCTAGTTATAACACTAATTTAGTATTTTTATTGTTAGGATGTTTTAGTGCAATGTGATAAATTATTATATTGATAAATATATTTTTTTTGTATAGAATGTTTCATGGTCGTCGCGTCTATTTCTATCTGTAGCTTTTACAATGGGATAACGTTTAATACTATATCATGAATTTCTTGGTTACATAGTAAAAGCCATTTTTGAAAGAACTTACATTTTTAACCTCTCTTTTGGACTTAATGAGCCATACCCATTGACGTCATCTTACACCTTAAGAATCATTTCGTTGAGAACCTTCTCAACGATGAGTTTCAGCATTTTTCAGATAAGGCTTCGTTGAAACGGAAATATTTTGGGAATTAAAACGTTTTAGTTAATTATGGGAGTCGTAAAGTTTATTCAAACAATTTGGTGAGGAGCAGCTTGATGATGCATTTATATTTTCTTTTCTAAGCCTTGGACTGCCAAAAAAAAACTGTTGAAGGCAAATTCTTGTTAACGTCGGTCACTTGTACCTTTACAGCAGTTAACATATTTAAAAAACTAGTTTCAGCGACCGTTTTTCTGTGACAAAATACAAACTGCCAGTTATTTTTCATAATGTAAAGAATAAATCAATTTATAACAAAAATATTGGTGAAGATATGAAAACTGAAAACCTTATATCTGAAAATTCAGAATGATCTTGATTTCCCTGAGGTGATGAAACGGAATTGGTAGCTACTTTTACATTGATGTCGTAATATTTCAACGCAGGTTATATTCACAAACAAATATTAAAGTTTTCGATGAAAACTTTTCAAAAAATCTACTTTTTGTAACCTTAAGTATATTTTATTGTTGGTAGATTATCTACACTTAGGTGTATGTGGAAAATACTTGATTTTTTTACATGTATATCATTTTACAACATGAATGAAGTTTGAAATAATGTTAACTAAAAATTATATAATCGTTATTATTAAGGAGAAAATATAAAGCGTTTTATGAAGTTTCACTCCAATAGACATATCGGAACCATTTTCAGGAAATTCATAAATGCCTTAATAAATTAATCAATTTCGTGAATACTTAAATTCAATTTATGATATTTCTTACTAGTATTTGCTATTTGAAAACTAATAAAATATAAATTGCTTTAATTTAGATTTCAGAATAAAAGCATTGGGTTATTTTTTAGTAATGATAACAAATATTCATTTTCTTTAGTCTATTAAAAATGGACGGAACAAAGTTATTACTTTTATCCTGAACTTCTTTCGGTCATTCTGAGTAATTCTTTAGTACAGTACAACCAGACTGTCAAACATATTGATTACTCATGTTTTTCTGTACGAATAGTAGTACATTTCCCATTACAATCATACGTTAAACGTACCATTTGACTAGAATGCCTTACAAACATCTTTTTTCTTGCAAAAAGGTGTTGTGTAAGCAGATCGTTAACCATTATCCCTCAAATTATTTATTTTTACCTCTTTTGATGTAAAATCACCATATTTTCCTGCTCGCAACACTTAGTTACGGCAGCAAAGAGTAATGGGGTAGCACAAATACGGGGGAAATTCCATTCATGACACCTTTATGAATGTAAGTTGCAATAGAAATAAATAAGTACAAATTCCTCCTTACATTACCTCAACAATAAGTTCATATCTCTTTACCTTCATAACGATTAAATACCGTAATTACCTAAAATGTCTATTAAAAAAATAACAGCTTTTACCTTGGTACATTTGATACTTTGTAATTGAGGTTTTTGTATTTATAAAATGTAATTAAGTAGAGCAGTCGACTCGTCCGTAATTATAAAAGCATTGAGCGCGTGGGTGAATACTTTTGTTACATAATCATATTGTTAATTCTCTTATTTTGTATAAAAATGCACATATTTTGTGGCAAAAACCTTTTTATAAAAATCATTCTTGTAATGAAATGTTTTTAACAATTTTCCAGCCAATATTTTCATAATAAAAAGAGGATTAAAACCGTGCACGGCTCAAGCCTCCAACGACATAGAGTAAGTACCCGAGTGCTCTCCAATCCGCGAAATTGAATTTCAATCACAACTTTGATTGGCTGAACTAAGTTCGTGTGTACGTGAAATAGTGTGTTATTGCTATGTGAAATATTTTATTTATAAAGTTATTTAATGTTAAAATTAAATATAAAATAGTATTACATTTACCTATAAATTAAGTATAGGTTATAAACACATTACCTATCGTATTTTAATTAATTTAATCGCATAAAACTTGGAGTTTATGCCATCGTTACCAAATTTTCGCAGTTAACCAAGAAATTTTCCCAGAAATCTCATCACCATAATTTAAGACGAGCATCGAGCTCAACTTTAGAGAAATCCGCAATTTTTGACTTAACCTACTTTCGGTTTGAGACGGCAAATTGCAACAACCGTACGCATGAAATTTATGTACGACGTCTGTACAAGTTACGTCGCAACGTAATCGTAAATACACGGCAGGAGTACGGCTATGGGGAATAAAGTTATGGGTCATTTTGTGAAAATGGCTAGTGGCTGATGTCAGCCTCGTGAGTAGCGGTTTAGGGATTATTTTTAGAAGGCATAAAAGTATAAAAGTGCCAGGAGTATATGACCATTAATCCGCATGGTTCGTGAGCTGGTCCTGGTGAGATTTTGTGAACGTATATATTATTTGTGGTGGTGAAAATTATTTTACTCGCGAGTTTTAGTACGAGCCGCCGAATTATTTAGCAGCCTGTTGTAAGAGACGAGTATGAATATTTTAGGATAACATCTGCGCGGCCTGGAATCACCAGGCCACCTGCCAAATGTGGTGATAAGAAAAAAAATGGGAAAATGTGCTTTTGTGCTAGTGTATATTTTTTTCGGAAAATGGTTTTTTATTTACTTACAGTGTAGCGCAAGGGGGGCACATAGCCGAGAGCGCACGAGTGCTCGCCCGCCGCTCGGCCGCGCCGCCGCGCTACCGCATGGCGCTGGCCCGCCAGAACCGCGCGATGTGCAGCCCGCGCGCGAGAAAACCGCGCGTCCAACGCCCGCGCGACCACGACAACCAGTCCACGACTCCCCACCAACAGTCCGACTGCCGACAATTCACAACATCGTCACTATACTCAAACAGCAATGCTCATACCGCCGCCACCATCCGCCGCGTCGACTGTACATGACACTCGCACGTTAATAATGTATGAAAAGTTTTTCGTAACCCAACATTGTCGCATTGCAGAAAAACCGCTCCGAGACTAACATTAACTACGCTTTGTCTTCTTGTACGACTTTACATGCTAGCTTATTTATTCACGGAGAAAATTGCGTGCTCGCGTGGACGCGACGTGGTGTCTGCGGCCGTTAAAATTGATCGGGTTTGTGTATACTCACATTAGCATGCCAGCGTCGGCCTCCCGGTTATCAACTATCGTTAACGTAAACAATTGAACACACAATCATTTTGTCGAGTGGCGCGGCGCGATATCACATGCCGGTCGGACGCGGATCGAAGGAGCTCGGGCGGAGGCGCCCGGCTCGTCAGAGCATCAGCCCCGGGGGCTCGGAGCCGCAGGGCTGCCACCGCCACCACACCGTATGCGGCGTTTGCTGGCTAAATGAGCGGATTAGGTGCGCGGGGCGGAAGTGTCGGAGGCGACACGCGCGTCGTTGCCACTGCAGGCCGCCACTGAGGCGGGGCGGCCCGGGAAAGCCTCCCCGCGCCCTTCCCGCCCCCCGCCGCCACCCTCCCGCTCCACCCCGCCCGCCATGTGCCCGGAGCGCGCTCAGCCTCTCGCCTCGCAAAGGGTTGTCGGCAAAGGGAAATTGCTACTATCGTCTTTTTGTCGTGACGACAATTGGCCGTGCTTTAGGCGGCGCTTTCTCTTTGACCGGGGGTCCAGAGCGGGTCGCTTATTATATTTCAGAAGCTATTTTATTCAGTTTTTGATCGAGGGAATAATATTTGAATTATTTTCAGTCATGTATCGGGGTCGGCGCGTTATGTAACGCCGTGCGGCTGCCATGGCCGTCCCACAGACGCAGCGCGCCTGTCGGAATACCCCTAACGCAGCCCTTAAATTTCTAGTGAAACGTTACGAGCGGGCGCGAAGTTTGCCGAGCTCGGCCGAGCGGCAGGCTACGAGCGCGGCCGAACGCGCGCGACCGGCGCCGCCCAGTCAATAAGGCCGTCTCCACTCGCCGAACAAAGACACTAACCTATAATAATTACATTTAATTAAGGATAACTGGACTATTTTGTATAATAAGCATATCGCGCTGCAGCGTTAGCATCCAGATTTCACACTTGATATAGGATAATTATTTTATACACGTAGTCGTTTAGGTTATCGCACACGTGTGACCTAGCGCTAGTAGTAGTAAAAGGTTAGAAAGAAATGATGAAGATATTAATTATTTGAAAACGGCTGTAAACATTTAAAAACAAAACATCGCTTTGTCCGAAAAATGTTCAGTATTTTTCTCGTGAAATATTATTTATTATTGTCGAGTGGTCGTCGGTCGGCCCACCTGTGCAGCCCCAAGTCCTTAACTGCAATATCATATGATGACTCGTCGCCATAGATACGCGTATGTTGTGAAACTCGATGCTTTATTTACATCGAATGCGTTTTATTAGTCGTTTCCTTTGCGTTTTAATTCGAATTGGCGTATTTATTCATTTAAGTGTGATGATATTTTAATGAATGTCATTATTTCTTACTTTTTATTTCGGATTTGTGTCTTATGAATTGTATTGTTTTGGTGCACGATATTATTATATTATATTGTATTGGTCTTATGATACGGAATTCTAATATGTTGTTAAAATCAAATATTATTAATAATATATCTCATTGGTCGAGCGATTTCTTAAGATCCTTAGGTGTGATTTGAGGGTCGTGTAAAATGGTTTCATTTATTGGAATACACTGATATGTCTCCCAATAGCCTTGTTATTGGAACTCATAACATAACTAATGAAAAATAAACGTCTTTGAGTATTAAATGGCGTAATATTTCCAACATATTTTGCGATCTCAATAAAATAACAACGAACTTTAATTAAAACTCCATAACACCTCGAACCGAATCAGTTTTGAGGAAAAAGTCAAGGAGAAAACAAAAATCGTCGGTACATATTTGGAAAACCGAGTATTCGAGTGTTCCAAACAATTCGTCGATGATGAATCGCAACCGGTCACAAAGTCAACGTGCTGTACGACTGTCATATACATAAAGGATTGTAACACACAGATTTTTTGTTCACATCGAGATGGGATTTGATACAGAACAATCTGTATTCTTATAAAGTAATGTATATTTTTTAACGCTTATCATTTTTATTTTTATTATAATATGTACAAATATTAATTCAGTATTATCATTATCACGAACTATCAGATGAGATAAGCAAATATTTTTAACATATTTTTGTCATTTAGGAAAGTTTATGAAAATGAAGAAATAATTGAAAAATGAAAAATAATACAAAACAATCAACAAGATATCATAACCAGTAATAGTGTCACTTTTAGGTTGTCTGTCTGTCACTTAGTCATCTCCGAAATATGAGTTATTCATTCGTTCCTAGAAAATCGTGAGCAATAGGTTTCTAGACGTATTTATTGTCCTATGAGCTCATAAGTATTTTCAATTTTGAGCGAAGTAAAATCAGCTGCGTATTCAAAGCTTATTTTATATCGCAACTATGAAATGACACTTACTTACTATTTACAATTTTAATGTTCCAATATTTGCTTACATACCTCATACTTATTATAATGTTCCAATATTTGCTTACATACCTCATACTTTTGAATTTACTGTAATATTCGAACAATTACTGAAATATTAGCTCGTTGAGTCATGCATAAAAACTTTCAATTATTCTTTTCTTTTTTGATAACAATACGGTATTTTATTCAAATCGAGAACTTGACACTATTATGAATAAATATAATTATACAACTTCAAATAAACTAAAATAAACAATTTAAAGGCCCATTCTTCAATCAAAAGTTAATAACATTCTTCACTGTATAATTAAAATTGACAGATGACAACAGTTTTTAGTATGGAAGAATTATCAAATATTCAAACTTATTTCTGTGATATAATTTAGCCCGCGTTAGAAAAATCGGCCTTAAATAATTTAAATAAGGTTACCTAAAGTAGTACTAGCACTTTAACGCTAACGTCTTGGTTCTTGTTACTTTTAAATCGAAAACTTTTACATTCAATTAAAATAATAACAGTACTTAGTACTAGATAGATATTTTTCTAGAACTCATTCTGAAGTTATAATAAGTTCAATTTCATTTCAACTGCACAATTTGTTCTATAGAACTGTTAAAGGAGTTCAGTCTCGGTCGATTGAGCACAAGTTTTCAAAAATATCTACATTAAAATGAGTGCATAGGCGCTTTCAATTCATTTTGATACATTTTATTCAATTCCATCTTTAGTTTAACATAGTTTCAATGCTAACAGTTGTATTACACTGATTTTAATTCACGTTTTTGTTATTGGTTCTGAGAAAATTGTACAGTTAATTTTAATTTTACATTTTTATAGTAAAATGTTTGGCATCAATTATTCGAAATACCTCCTTTAAATTTAAATAAATAACCTCTATTTAAGAAAACCTTCTAACATCATATTCTGTATGCTTCTTTATAACTCCAAAATTTAAAATAAGGCGAAATTTAACATAAGGCAAACTCTATTTCTAAAATATAATTTCGATTCTTATCCTTATTAATGTTGACTTTTATTGGGACAAGCCCGCCACAACCTCCTAAAACCGCTGCAACTCCTGTAAGCCAGGATCAACAGTAGATACAACCATTAAAATACTGTCATACTCCATAATAATGTTGCCTTAATAATAACTGCATGTTGGGTGCAATGATTGTGATCGTGACCGCCAGATTAAGCGCCACAAGTATGTATGGATAGGCCACACGCTCTAAAGGGGTCCCGACCATATACCCCAGCTTGCCTTGGACTGGAATCCCTAAGGGAAAAGAAAGCGTGGCCCTCGGCAAACCTGGCGTCGTAGCATACTGGCAGAAGCGACGAGTATCGGTATGACGTGGAATGAAGTGAAGCTTGAAGCTCAAGACAGACTGCTATGAAGAACTTCAAAGGACGCCCTCTGCCCCATCTAGGGGACACAGGATATTAAGTCAAGTGGTGCAATGACAAGCGACTGCTACATTACGTGTTCCTGTGTCGCTGCCAGCACCGAACAGATCTTTGTGTGCCCCACAGTTTGTTGTTCCGGGTCTGTATGGCATGTATATGTGAATTTGTATGTGTGTGTGTATAAACAAAAACTAGACAGGAGTATTTTAGAGAAAATAATATAGCTCAATTGCGACTGCAAACTCTAAACTTGCTTTGATAGCAAAGTTCTTAGCAAAGCCGTCCATCGAATCAAAACAAGATTATAAAAGTTTTTCTAGAAATTTCTTTTCCAAGTAGGCTTCCCTCGAATATAAACGTAATTACTTTTAGTTATACCAGTGCCATATTTTGTTAGAATAATATTACAGACAGGCAGACATCCATAATTATGTATTAGTATGATAAGATTTTCAGCAGATTACAATTAGCTTGTAGTCGTGGATGGATGTTTGTGAAGTTTTTCGTCTAGACAAATATTATTATTGCTAGTTTTACTATGTTCGTTGTATGTTTCACTTATTTCGGCACGTGTGCCGTGTATCAGATCATTTTACAATAATTATTTCATAAACTACGTTTAAAAGTCCTACTTGAAACCTTTCTTTGTTGAAGTCAGTTAATTAATATACTAAAACCTTCTTCTAAGTGTAACCAACACATTTCTGAAAACCACATCAAAATCGATTTAGCTAATCGCGAGGTAAACACGCACAAACAACATACATGTTTTTGATCAGTAACAGTTGGTTCTCTTTGTCTTCTTCAGGCAAAAATGCTCTAGATGAGGATTTATCATCTTTGCATTAGAAAACAGACAATAGAAATGTAACTGAGATAATGTAAAAAAAATGTGACTCTAATGTATCCCTCTGCTTACCCCTTCAGGATATAGAGTGTGTGTGACAACGTCTTAATATAATAAAAATGCTAACATTTATCCTTAATTTGAATTTGCATAATTAATATCAATAATTTATTAGCCTCGAAGAATTTCCTTAATGTATTATACGAGTACCAGGATTACAGAAACGTGTAGGATGTATCGATCACGGCTTAGCATTAAGGACGATGTGTTTCGTCTCCTTTGTATAATGATATTTTACAACACGGTGCTCATTTTACTTATTTTGAATTAGTATAAAATTGAGTCTGGTAATTGTCGTTTTTTGTGAAATAATACATAGGTATGTACATGGTATAACGTGATGCCTTTTGATCCCTGAAGGTGTAAGCATTTTCCTCAGTGTCTGTTACGACAGAAACTAGGATCGGGTTGGACATGAACTAGTCTCGTCACAC